CAGCACATCCACCCAACAAATATTTATTGAGCACACATATTATGTACCAGGCACCAAGTGTGGCTTTGATATTATAACAGAGCTTCCTTTTAAAGTTTCCAATACAAGTTCACATACACAATCAAATCTGATCCTCATAAAACCAAGTGAACCAAGTGACACAGGTGTTGTTATCCTCACTCTGAAAAGTAAACTTAGGTTCACCAAGATTAGATGAATGGTCCAAGTCCATATGACTAGTGCCACATAAAGTTTCTTGCATTGGGGAAGAATCTCAGGGAATATTTTTCCTTCATGCCCCTGGATACCTATGGACCCTTTCCTACCTGTGCCAAAAGTCTGCTCCCCAACCTCTACACTCACTCTACCTCAGATGTCTCTGCACTCTGCCTACCACACTTTTTAGAGTAGGAAGCACATGTAAGGGTATGCTCAGCTTCAAGCCACAGAAAACCCAACTGTGAGTGACTTAAGAGAATTATCTTACAAGAGATCTGAAAGTACACAATTCCAGAGTTGGCACCTTAGCTCAAAATTGTCACAAAAGAAAAACAAAATTGCATTGAAAGAACCAAGATCTTTCCTTCTTTCCACTCCACCATCCTTAGGCTACTCACCTCACGGCTACAAAATGGCTGCTACAGCTCTATCCTCATGTTCTCACATGACTATACCCAAAGGCAGATCCAGGTCACATGACCACCCAGCAGCAAGGGCGGGAGGAAGGCAAGAATCTGGTATTTGTGACTTTCATGGGGGAAGTAGGGAGGTGTGGGCACCAAGGCAAAAGCTGGGAGTGGCTATTGGATAACTAATCACCAGCCTCTGCCACAGGTAACTTGCTGATTCCTGATTAGGGTCAGAGCTGCAAATTAATTCCTCCCCAGCAGAAATATAAATTTCTTGACACTATAAGTTGCTTTATTAGTTCTCTATTGCTGCATTGTAAATAACCACGGGCTAAGCTTAAGACAATACCCATTTATTTTCTAACAGCTCTATAGGTCAGAAGTCCAGGAAGTCTTGAGTTGAGTTCTCTGATTAGGGACTTACAAAGCTAAAATCGAGGTGTTACCTGGGCTGAGCTCTCATCTGGAGTTCTGGGGAAGAATTCACTTCCAACGCATTCAGATTGCTGGCAGAATTCAGTTCCTTGTAGCTGTAGGACTGTCTCCATGGCCTTGCTGGCTGTCCACCAGGGATCACTCTCAACTCCAAAGACGGCTCTCCATCCTTATACGTGACCCCCTCCATCTTCAACACCAGTAATGGTGCACTGAATCCTTCTCATATCAATACTTCCAATCTCTCCAACTTTTCCTTCTACCAGCAGCTGAAGAAAATTCTGTGCTTTTAAAGGGCTCCTGAATGAGATTAGGCCCACCTAGGTAATCTGCCTTTGGCCATGATCACAGGAGTAACACCAGAGGGTGAAGATCATGGGAGCCATCTCAAAACTCTACCTACCTTAGCCACCATTAAAAAAACAAAAGCAGGATTTACTCTTGGAGTTTGGGATAGGGTCACCCTTCCCTGAATCACGATAAGGGCAGGAGGACTCCCAATCAAAACTGGGGCTCTGCAGGCAAAAAACTAAAGAAGAGAATGGCTGCTGGGTGGGCAACCAAGAGTGACTGATTTGATTAACTGTTTTTCTGTGTAAATGAGATACTAACCCTAAGATAGTTACACAGTGGAATACCATCTAGCTGGTGCAATTTTTTTTTTTTTTTTAATGAGAACATGGTGTGTAAGAACCACTGACCAGGACAGGGATTCCTGCTTCATTTAACTTCCCCACCCCTCCAACCCTTACAACCCCTCCCCCACCCGCTCCTCAGCCAGCACTGTGTCCCGAACACGGACTCATGAAGAATGCTGACCCACAGGGAGTTTGATAGAGTTTCTTATGATGAAAGTATTTACTGTGGCTAGATTTCTTATGGCTGTTTTTAACTGGTTTGTTTCTATCTGTTAGGCAAAAGGGAAAGACAAGGGTTTATGGAAAGAGGAGGCCCATCTCTCAGAGTTCACACAGAGCAGGTCCTAACACTGCCCACGGTGTTTGTAAGGAGTCTTTGTAAGGAGTCTTTGAAGGCCTTTCCATGTCTTTCTAAAGAGAAATCACCTGCCCTCTTCTCTGCAGAGGTGCCTCATTACAAGCTCTTTCAATGCATTGTTTTCTGTTTCACTGCCTTAAATCCAGCTCGGGCTGCTTATGGTTTTTATTTCAATTTGTTTTCTGTTTTATGACATCATTTGGATTTAAATTTTTTTTCCTCCACCAAAAAGTCTAAAATACCGAGTCAGATGTCTCCGAGGAGCTTATGTACGTTTGCACAAGCACTTGGAGATCCTTAAGAACTGCAGATTATCAACCAGGAACAGCTCAATGCCTTTCAGAATGCTTTACTTTCACAAAGGCTTGTGTTTACCTTTTAAGTGCTTTCAAGTCCGTTCTCTCGAAGTACCTCCTTGCCTTACCAGGAGCCCTGCTTTTTGTTCTTGTTGCCTTCTTCATTCAGAAGAACCATCAATCAGTTTCTGAAACAAGGAAGCTTCTGTGCAGAATTCAAAAGACACCACATCACAGCTGGTGGCAAGAGAGTGCAATGGGCATTGTTGTTTGTACACAGGCCTTCATCTCTGTGAGAAGTACCCCTGTTTGAAATGAATGAGGCAGACAAGAATGGTGGCTTCAAAAGCAACTATCCTCCTCTGGGCTTTTCTTGTTGAAAGTTCTGCACAGCACTGTCACTAGAAACTAAAGAGAATAAAAGGCAAATCTGCAGCAGGCTACAGGTTTCCTATACAAGAGACTCACACCTGGCCTCAGCCAGGCTGTGTGTCTGGATATTTCCCTTTACTATGTAGATTTGGGTTTGCAAGGTTAATGTGAAAGAGGCTGTTTATTTTTTCCCAGTGATTCTGCATAAAAATTACATAAACTTCCCTTACCAAGAGCCTAGCCCAGAAATATGACAGGCTCCTCTCTTTCCTGGTGCCTCTTAAGGGTGTCATTTCTGGTAGGAGTAGAGCATCCATCACTAGTGTTGCCATGGTTATGGCTTCCGGACCAGGGGATTGGCTGATCCTTGGCCCAGCTCTTCCACCTAGCTATCATAAACTCCACAGCAGGAGGTTTCCTTATTCCCTGATTCATTTTGTATTTGGCTGGAATATTGGAGAGCACATAGTTTCCATGGTACTTCATGACTCTTCTGTAGGTTCTTAGCGACCCTAAGGTTGATTAGGACATAAAGTCTTGGGCTAGTGGAAAAGTTAAAACAGTGTGCAGGGCTTACAGCAGAGATGAAAAAGAAATAAAAGGAATCCAAATCGGAAGAGAAGAAATAAAACTGTCACTGTGTGCAGATGACATGATACTATACATAGAGAATCCTAAAGATACTACCAGAAAACTACTAGAGCTGATCAATGAATTTGGTTAAGTAGCAGGATACAAAATTAATGCACAGAAATTTCTTGCATTCCTATACACTAATGATGAAAAATCTGAAAGAGAAATTAAGAAAACACTCCCATTTACCATTGCATCAAAAAGAATAAAATACCTAGGATTTTGTCTCCTACTAAAGGAGACAAAAGACCTGTATGCAGAAAACTATAAGACACTGATGAAAGAAATTATGGATGATACAAATAGATGGAGAGATATACCATGTTCTTGGATTGGAAGAATCAACATTGTGGAAATAACTCTACTACCCAAAGCAATTTACAGATTCAGTGCAATCCCTATCAAACTACCAATGGCATTTTTCACAGAACTAGATCAAAAAATTTCACAATTTGTATGGAAACACAAAAGACCTCAAATAGCCAAAGCAATCTTGAGAAAGAAAAACAGAGCTGGAGGAATCAGGCTCCTGGACTTCAGACTATACTACAAAGCTACAGTAATCAAGACAGTATGGTACTGGCACAAAAAGAGAAATAAAGATCAATGGAACAGGATAGAAAGCCAAGAGATAAGTCCACGCACATATGGTCACCTTATCTTTGATAAAGGAGGCAAGAATATACAATGGAGAAAAGACAGCCTCTTCAATAAGTGGTGCTGGGAAAACTGCACAGCTACAGGTAAAAGAATGAAATTAGAACACTCCCTAACACCATACACAAAAATAAACTCAAAATGGATTAAAGACCTAAATGTAAGGCCAGACACTATAAAATTCTTAGAGGAAAACACAGGCAGAACACTCCATGTCATAAATCACAGCAAGATCCTTTTTGACCCACCTCCTAGAGAAAGGGAAATAAAAACAAAAATAAACAAATGGGACCTAATGAAACTTAAAAGCTTTTGCACAGTAAAGGAAACCATAAACAAGATGAAAAGACAATGCTCAGAATGGGAGAAAATATTTGCAAATGAAGCAACTGACAAAGGATTAATCTCCAAAATATACAAGCAGCTCATGCAGCTCAATATCAAAAAAAAACAAACAACCCAATCCAGAAATGGGCAGAAGACCTAAATAGACATTTCTCCAAAGAAGATATACAGATTGCCAACAAACACATGAAAGGATGCTCAACATCACTAATCATTAGAGAAACGTAAATCAAAACTACAGTGAGGTTATCACCTCACACCAGTCAGAATGACCATCATCAAAAAATCTACAAACAATAAATGCTGGAGAGGGTGTGGAGAAAAGGGAACCCTCTTGCACTGTTGGTGGGAATGTAAATTGATACAGTCACTATGGAGAAATCTTGCATTGTTTGTATCTTTTAAAAGTGCCTTAAATTCTTTGGGAGCAAGGCTACATATAAAGGAAGTATAAATATATTCTCTAGAAATCCATTGGATTTTTTGCTTTTAGGATGGGAGAAAAAAAGTACAAAGGTTTTTCTGGCCAGGAAGGGAAAATTGCATAATGCAAAGCACCTAGAACATATTCTGTGTAAGAAACAAATGGAATAATTTAAATGTATATTTTCTGTTGAAGAAAAAATATATGTACATGGTGTTCGATTCAGCAGCATACATATTAAAATTGTAACGATACAGAGAAGATTAGCATGGCCCCTGCTCAAGGATGACATGCAAATTTGTGAAGCATCCCACATTTTTAGATGTTGGTCAAAGCGTACAAAACTCCCCACTAAAGGATAAATAAGGTCTAGGGATCTAATGCACAGCATGGTGACTATAATCAACAATACTGTGTAATATATTGAAAGTTTTTAAGAAAGTAGATCTTAAATATTATCACCACACAAGTAAAAAATATATAACATAACTATGTCAAGGGATGGAGATGTTAACTAACCTTATTGTGGTCATCGTTTTGCAATGTATACGTGTCTCTAATCATCACATTGTATACCTTAAACATACATATATCAATAATAATTCAATGAAGCTGGAGGGGGGGAATTGCCTCAACTACAGAGGGAAAAAATATATATACATATATTTGATTGGATTCAAGAAAACTGGAATTTCTAGTACAATTGGAGGATAAGACAATTACACTCCTAAACTCAGGGAGTCCCCTGGATAATTAGAAGCCTGCCCCAGAGAATCACACACACAAGAAATTTGGGCAGTCCCTTCAAAAGCCTGGGGTGGGCCATGGGGACACGCCATACCATCGGAGAGGTGCTTAGTGGGTTCTGAGAACCCCAGTTTCTTGCACACAATTAAAGCTTTACAGGCAGTTCCCTGGTGGTTTAGTGGTTAGGATTCGGGCTTTCACTGCCATGTCCCGGGTTCAATTCCTCGTCAGGGAACTGAGATCCTGCAAGACATGTGGTGTGGCCAAAAAATAAATAAATAAATAAAAGCTTTACAAGCATCTGCTGAACAAATGGAAAAGATAAAAAAAAAAATCAAACCATTATGCCTGTGTGCTAAATAAGTTCACAGATAATCTTCAAATTAACCCAAGTGGAAATGATTTAGCAGCCTCAGAAAAGTAGATGCTATAAAAGGCTTTAGTCCCTTTAATCCTCTCAACAACTCTTTGAGGTAGATGTTTTTATCTCCACTTTTTTCAAATGAGGTTATGGAAGGTTAAGTAATATGTGCAAGGCCACATAACTAGTAAGTGAAAGACCCAGGATTTCAGCCCCCAGCTGTCTGATTCTAAAAACAGACTATTCCCTCTACTCCGATTTTTCCCAAGCTTTTCTCACGTTAAGAACACAAATCTGATGCCCCATCTCAGATGCACTGAATCAGAATCTCCAGGGAGAGACTTGGAAACATAATGTTTAACAAGAGATGAAATTATTATTATCAGAGAAGTTTAAGAAAACTGCTCTATTGCATGAGGTGGGAAATGAACCCATATCTCCCTCTGACTGATCAAAGAGAAGCCATCAGAAGCTCCTGCAACTAAAAATAAATCAAGTTATTCTGGAGTTTATCAGATTATAATATTATAGGATATTTATTCCTCAATATGGTAATACAGCATTGTCTGATTTACGGTTATCTGGATCCAAAAATACCAAGACCATTTTGGAAAGTTAAAAATGGGCTGTAGTTTAAACCTCAGACTTTCTTAGCTATCCTCTCTGTCCCTCTTTGGTCCTTGGGAGCAAAAGTGAGTAAGAATTCAGTTTCAATTCCTAGCAGCTGTAACTGATGCAGAGGTTCCAGTTGTGCAGGGGCTGGAGGACGGCTAGAAGGAGAACGACAGGCTGAGAATCAGTCCTCATGCCTGGGTGCCCACCAGATGGCTTTCATTGGATGTAGTACAAGTTACACAATCCAGGAAGTAGAAAACCCACCATTGTTTCGTTTGTTTTCCTTAGTTTCAGTTTTTCCCCCCCTGATGAGAAGAGCCAGGCCAGCTAAGCCTGCATCTTCAATACCCATTATGGGAGCAAATAACTTATTTGTACAACCTAAACGCTTGCTTAATTAAATGGAAAGCAAGGCAGTGATTTCTGACAGGGCTGAACTTAAGTCAAGTTGTAAAACTCCACAGTGCAGCCAGAAGCAGCGACGGACAGTTGAACTGAAACCTGGGAACACTTCAGGGGCCCTGGACCACTGCTTCTCAGCCATTTTATTGTAAGTTATTCCCATTATCTCAGAGAGAAGTTTGAGACATCCTTAGAGAAAAGGATGAAGCTGATTACCCCCATTTTGAACATAGATCTTTGTTTTAAGAACTTGCTTTATATGATATTGCCAAGAAACTTGCTTTGAATGATATTTTCAAGTTTCAAAGCAAGGCATGATGTCTATAATAGCAGATAATGACAACTACCTTCTACATATAATAATTTAATATGCTTTAATATACTTCTATTCCTGAGCGTTCTTGATCTTATTTACTCTTCACAACAACTCTGTGAAGTTGGTACTCTTATTAACATAATTTTACAGATAAGGAAACTGGCAGCCTCCTAACAGAATCATTAAGTAACTAGCAAAAAGTCCACAGAAATCTTGTTGATTGAAAGCACAAATCATACATCTAAGTACTAACAATGGTTGTCTCTAGGCTCTGAAATTTGGGGTGATTATTGTTATTTTGTGTTATTTTTCTACTCTGAATATATAGTAAGTTCATAATAAAACAATAGTAAATATGAAAATAAATATGAACTTCTTTAGATCATGGTACAAGAAGAAAATAAATACTAATATACTGAGTGCCCTATCTGTAGTAGTTTCTGTAAACATTCAGATATTTCAGCTGTTGCCACTGTCATCTTCAGTATGGTAAATTCTAGAATACTCTCAATTTCTCGCTCACCCTCTATCTATATATATATAAAATATATATTATATTCAATAAATAAAATATAAATTTAAATATAAATTAATTATAAATTTAAATATAGATTATATAAATTTATTTCTATTTGTTATACATAATTTATAGTATATATAGTATACATACTCTAACTATAGTATATATATATAAAACAATATTGTGATAACTGACAATTTGAATATGGACTATGGAATTAGAAAATTGTATAGTATCAATATGAAATTTTCCAATGTTCTTAACTGTTAAATTTCCTAAGTTTTATAAGAGAAAATGTCTCTCCCAGGAAATATACATTGAAGTATTTAGGTATGTATGTACATCTGCAACTTATTCTCAAATGGTTCAAAAAAAAATTCATATATGGAGAATGAATTATAAAGCAATCAGAGAACAATAGAAACAAACAAATGGTGAATCTGGCTAAAGGTGAATCTAGTTTTTAACATTTCTGCAAGTTTAAAATTAAATACAAACGAAAATTTACGATAAAAACAAATGGCTGACAACTTCTAACAACAGCAACAAAAATTCTCCTAAGCAACAGGGTCAAGCAGAATATTAAGGACATGATAATAATTTCTGAAATATTATAAAATTGAAAATACCACCTATTAAAAATGACGGGGGTATGAACAAATCAAGACTCAGAGGCAAAGATATAGATCTATGTGCTCTTATTTTAGAAATAAGAAATAAGTGAACTAAGCACTTGATTTAAAATCTTACGAAGAGTGTCAACATAAGAGAAAACAAAGAAAAGAATAAAGATGAAGGATAGAAATAAGCTAGAAAATATAAAATTGGTAGCAATAATAAATTTAAATGCTCATTCTCTGAAAATAGTAATAAGATAGATTAAAACCCTTGTAAAAATAATAAATAAAAGGTATTAATCAACAAACTTAAAAAGAAGACTGGTGATTTAACAACTGATATAAAGGATTTTAAAATATAAATTATTGGGCTTCCCTGGTGGTGCAGTGGTTGAGTGTCCGCCTGACAATGCAGGGGACACGGGTTCGTGCCCCGGTCTGGGAAAATCCCACATGCCGTGGAGCGGCTAGGCCCGTAAGCCATGGCCGCTGAGCCTGCAGGTCCGGAGCCTGTGCTCCGCAATGGGAGAGGCCACAACAATGAGAGCCCCACATACCGCAAAAAAAAAAAAAAAAAAAAATATATATATATATATATGTTTATAAATTATTGCAATGCACAATTTATTATAATCAATTTGAAATGTTTAGTCAAATGGGCAATATAAAATTGGCAACACAAGATACAAAAACATGAAAATAATGATGGAGAAGGAAATTGAGAAAGTTATTAAAGAAATACCTCATCCACCAAAAAAAAAAGTATGACCTAAACAAATACACTGAATAATATTTCTATGAATTCAACAAACAGATTTTCCCATACTATGCAGTCAGTTCCAAATCACAGAGAAACAAGACCTGATACTCAATTCATTCTAAGAGATAATTACCATCCTCATCCACAGATCTGTAAAACATACCACACACGTACACACACGCATAAACACATAGGCTTAGTACGGTAAACATGCACAAGTACCAATTCCAATACAACTGGTTTGAAAAAGTTAGAAGTAGACTCAGGCACATAGCAGATTTTCCAAAAATAGTTGTTGGATAAGTGAATAAATGAATACATGGGAATACACATAAATGAAGAAACTAATGCAGTCAATTAGCAGCATCTACTAAGGGCATGCAAGGTAGGAATGGCTTGTGCATATCATCTATCTGCTAACTTTTACCAATCACTTCACCATGTCAGACCCAATGAACATAGGCAGAAAAATCATTTTTAACTGAACTTAGAGAATGCAGCTGTAACAAGAACGCATGGTGACCAATAAAGGTAAATTCTAGGAATGTGAAAGATTATGGCAAATTGCAGAATCCCTTTTATAAAAGAATTGCTTCTTTTTTTGGTGAGATTTAAAAGAAAAATTGAAGAAATGAAGACACAAAGGATTGGAGGGTGACAGAATACACTATCCCAAAATATGCCACTTTGGCAGAAGGATTATTTTGAGTTACAGGCACTTGAAAAACATCAGATGTGAGAAGGGCATTCTTATCTCTCCTTTTCCTCCTAAAACAGGAGATAAAAATTCCCATATGGAAGATGCCTTCCCAGTAACAGAAGAAACAAAACATTTTCCAATGGGGAATCAAAGCCAAGAGAATTCTTTACCAACAGACCCTGTTAAAATAATTTTTATCTTCCTTTAACCTCTCTTCATAATTTAGTTACTTTTCCACAGTTGCCTCTCTTTGTTCAACCCAGCATAAAAGATTGTAAGTTT